TTCTTGGGGCCCCGCTGCCGAGGGGCAACGAACCCGCGCTTCTGACGCTGTACTGCCGTCTTCTGCTTGGCCCTCCAACCGGCCAAGAACGCCTCTTGGAGATCTTCCGTCGCCTCGCACTCCTCGTCATCAGGCCCGTCGTTGTCCGACGCCAGCTCCTCTTCGACCTCGGCGCCGTCCTCGAAGATGATCCCCTCGCCAGCTCCGGGGTCTCCATCGTCCTGGTCATCTGCTTCATCTTCGCCGTGCTGCGCCTCCTCCAGGTCGCCGTCGTGTTCATCGTAGTCTTCACCGTTCTCCACCTCGTGCACATGCTGGCCAGGGCGTCCTCGAAGCACGCATGGCCTACGAGCCATGGGAGGGTGCGGATAGCGACCGCCCGAGCTCCCAGAAGAGCGCCCGTGCTCACGCTGCGCCGCCACAAACGGCGAGCGGCGAGGGAGCACCGAGCGCTTCTCGGCGTCGTGCACCTTCGAGTAGGCTGCCTTCAGCGCGACCTCCATCCGCTTCGAGTCGTAGATGCCGCCGCAATTGAAGAGCACCTGCGCTCGCTCCTTTTGCGACAGCCCAGCGCCACGGAGCATCTTGCTCGCCAGCGCGCGATCGCTGATCGCTGACGCGGGGTCCTCGAGCTGCAACTCCATGCGCTTCTTCCGAAGGTACGTCGTCCAATCCATGATGGGCTGCCCTGCTCGACGGTGTGCTCGCTCCCACTCCTGATGCACCTGGTCCAGGCGCTCGTGGTCCATCTTCTCGATGGCGTCATCGTAGATAGCGAAGATAGTCTCGAGCGTGTCCTCGCGTCGAAGGTCCGACGCGTCAAGCACCTCGACGAGCTCCTTGGCCCGACCTGTCACCTGGCTGTAGATGATCAGGCCCAGCTCCACGTCAGAAAGCTGGTTGAGATTGCGGATGACCTCAACTGCCTTGCGCCACTCCCGGTACTTCTTGGTACTCGTACCGACGGCGCCGTCGAACTCCGGGAGCTTCGCCTGCGACAGCAGTAGACGTGCGCGTCTGGGGCCGCTGTCGCCGCCGCGATCCCGATGCAAGGCCAAGAGCTCCCTCTGGGTCTCAGCCATCACGCGCAGGACCGCGTGCAGGTCTGGGGGACCTGCGCCGACGGAGGACGCAGCCTCCGCATCTGAGCCGTCGTGGCTGGCAGCCATGGCGGCCCGCGCGGGTGGTCACAGCCACCGAAGCAGAGCACGCAGTGCGTCCGCTGGAGCTTACAAGCTCCGCTACCAATGTCAGTGCAGATCTTTTTGCTCGGGCCGCGCGGCGGCCAGTCTGCGGGTGCAGTCCCAGGGCCCTAGGACTAGGGCCAAAACAGCGGCGGGCAGCATGCACGCCACAAACATGAAAAACATGTACATCATGCGTACACGGTGGCACGGGCGGCAGAGGGGCAGGGGAGTGCACTCTTCACAACAGGGAGATTCCCCTCTGGGATGAATTCCTGACCCAACGCCACAGACGATCCTTCAGGGATGGGCTGCAAGTAACCGAAGACGCAAATTTAAAGCGAAGAGATGCCTCGATAAATCTCTACGTTCGCAATGGCCCTGCGCAGCTCCTGGAGAAAACGTCCTCGATCTCAAGCTGGAACACCAGATCTTGGTGGCGAAGCCGTTCCACGATCTCGTCACACCAGCGCGTCAATGTGGTCTAAGTCGTCGGCGCCGTCTGGCGCGCGGTTCGTCTCCAAGCTATGCGTCCACCACTTCGCCGTCTCCACTGAGCCAGAGGCATGACAACCATGTCCAACGTATATCTCCACACCCTGCGTCTCCTCACAGTATTCCAGCTGCCAGGTGTGCGGCAAACGCTTCGCGTGGTCATGAAGTTCGTGGATCCCTCGGATCGCCCTCTCGTCCCACGTCTGTAGCCCGCATTCTCGACTAAACTCTCGACAACGGTACTATCGGTATGTTATCTCCTCTCTCGTCATTGTGCGTCGACGCCTGCGGCGTTGGACAACATCCCATGTCGCGGCATATGCGTCTCCACCATCTTGAACATCCCTCTCTCAATATGTTGTCTTCCGTTCTTTCTCTCGCCTTCTCTCTCTCTCTCTGTCCTTATCGATTGCGGATTGTTGCGCACGTGTCTGGCTTAGGTGTAGCCAAATGTGCCACACACGAATCTGGGGCTCCATGTATGTGAACTGAGCATTCTGCCCTGAAAGCGAATGCGTTATGTTTTTGCCCGCTCTGCTCTGTGACCAATCGTAGCGTTCCATGATTTCCGTGCGCATGAAACTTGGTCGACACCTCTAAGAGCTATCGTAATGCTCAACCGGGATTCGGTTGTCCTGATGCCTTCAAGACAGTGCGCAACATAAAACACTGTTTCGGATGTCGTTGGCATTGGCGTGTTATGGCCCAAGCGCATGCGTATCATTGTTTTACTCCTGTTCCGCGCTCTCGTGCTCCTCATGCTTGTGCTTCTATTATGCTCATCTTCATGCTCCTCCTCCTCCTCCACTCCTCATCTTGTTCTTTGTCTGATTACACATTATCCTCCTTACCACTTCTCCCCGCACACATCCTCCTCCTCCTCCTCCTCCTCCTCCTCCTCCTTCCCACCTCACTCCTCACTGTCCACCTCCTTCACCGCCTCCTCCAGACCGATCCTCCTCCTCCTCCTCCTCCTCCTCCTCCTCCTCCTCCTCCTCCTCCTCCTCCTCCCCTTCCGCCTTTCACCGTCTTCCGAAGCAACCTATACTTTCCCTCTTCCTCCATCTTCTCCTCATGCTACCTCGCCTTTCCCTCCCAATCCTTCTTCTCCAGTTCTCCGTGTCCGTCTCCCCTCCTCATCATCCTCCTTCGCCATCCCGTCCTCCCTGTTCTCCTCCTCCTGCTCCTGCCGCAGCTCATGTTTGTCCGCCACCTTTCGCCACCTCCAAGCATACCTCTCCTGTGCGTCATGTTCCTGCTCGTCGCCCTGCTCCTGTACAACCTCCTTCTTCTCCTCTCCCTCCTCCTCCTCCTCCTCCTCCTCCTCTGCCTCCGCCTCCAACTCCGCCTCCGGCTCCGCCTCCGCCTCCTCCTCCTCCTTCTCCTCCTAATCCTCTTCCTCCTCTCCCTCCTCCTTCTTCTCCTCCTCCTTCTCCTTCTCCTCGTCCTCGTCATTAGCATCATCATCATCATCATCATCATCATCATCATCATCATCATCATCATCATCATCATCATCATCATCATCATCATCATCATCATCATCATTCTCCTCCTATTCCTCCTCCTCTCCCTCCTCCTCCTCCTCCGACTCCTCCTGCTCCTGCTCCTCCACCTCCATTTCTTCTTCTTATGCATAACTTCTCCATGTCGCACCCCGAGGCCAGTTTTTAGGACGGGCCGGGCGTTTCGCCTGAGACTTCCTCACCATCTACGACTCTAAAGCTTTTAAAGTGGCAACAGTTTCAAAGAACGAGGGCGGGCCGCTTTCAAAATGTGGCTCTCGCCTTAGCGCCGCGCACATTCGTTTTCAACAGTTGCACGAGTTTCACGGATTGCGGGCGGGTGGTTTTCGACATGTGGATCTCGCCTTAGCGCCGTTCACATTCGTTTTAACAAATTGCAAAGGTTTTGCGGATTGTGGGCGGGTGGTTTTCAAAATGTGGCTCTCGCCTTCGCACCGCGCACATTCGTTTTAAACAAATGCAAGAATTTCAAAGAACGAGGGCGGGTCGTTTTCAAAATGTGGTTCGTGCCTTCGCGCCGCGTACATTCGTTTTCAACATGTGCTAAGAGTTTCACGGGTTGAGGGCGGTTCGTTTTCAACATGTGGCTCTTGTCTTAGCGCCGCGCACATTCGATTTCAACATGTGCAAGAGTTCCACATAATGAGGGCGGGTCGTTTTCAAAATGTGGTTCTCGCCTTAGCGCCACGCACATTCGTTTTCAATACTTGCAAGAGTTCCACGGATTGAGGGCGAGTCGATTTCAACATGTGGCTCTTGCCCTAGCGCCGCGCACATTCGTTTTCAACATGTGCTAAGAGTTTCACGGGTTGAGGGCGGTTCCTTTTCAAATGTGGCCCTCGCCCTAGCGCCGCGCACATTCGTTCATAACATGTGCAAGCGTTTCAGGGGGTCCCATGGTCAACGTACTAGAAATGGTGTTTTGGAAGGGTTCAGGATTATGCGGGTGCAACAGTTATGTTGATTCGCGGTGTTGAAGTCCCAACAATGGTGTTCTGGCACGATTCCGGATCGTCAAAACGCGGCAGTCAGGCTGATACGTGGCGTTGACATCCCGAGAACAATGTTTTGGCATGCTTCAGGATTTTCAAACGGTTGTTTTCCAACGAGACATTTGCCTCAATGGAAACGAAACGTTGTAGGGGCCTATGAAGAGGGAGCTTGGAGGGAGGGTTAATTCCGACATCGTTGATGACTCTTGAGTTTGCACTAATCCTCCTCCTCCTCCGCCTCCTCCTCCTCCTTCTCCTCCTGTTCCTCCTCCTCCTCCTCCTCCTCCTCCTCCTTCACCCTCCCGTCATCCGCGTCCTGCTCCTGCTGTCGCTGCCACGCCTCGTTTCCTCGCCCTCTTACTGCTTTTTATCCTCTGCGGTCCTCCCCGCTCGCCAGTATGCCCTCCGTCCACCTGTTATCTCCGTCCCTCCTACCCTCTGCTCGCCCCTCCTTTCCTGCTCCCCTGGAGCTCTCAATACGATCCACGCCCTCTCGTCACTCTCCTCACCCTCCTCGTCTCCAGCGCGTCATGCCGCCCCCTCCAGAAACTTCGTCATCCCTTCTGGCTCCTTCATCTGATCATCGGCTGGCACCCTGTTCCTCTCCTGCTCCACTGCACCGCCCTCCTCCGGAGCTGGTCCCGCGTCTACATGTCTCACCTCGCTGCCCTCTCTCCCCACCACCTTCCCCGCGTCGCCCTCCACGCTCCCCCCCGCGATCCTCCTCATCTGCCCCCCCCCTTCCACCTCTCCTCCCCGTCCCTCCTCTCGCCCCCCTCCCCCCCCCCCTGCACCAGTCGGTCCTCGGCGTCCGCAACCACCCGCCGCAGCTCTTCGACGTCGCCCTCGGGAGGCGGGCAAGGCGGCGCCGCACTGCGGCCACGGCGGGAGGGCGAAGGCGAGGCGCGAGTGCGGAGACGCGAAGGCGGAGGCGTGGAGGAGGAGGAGGAGGAGGAGGAGGAGGAGGAGGAGGAGGAGGAGGAGGTGGGAGGAGGAGGAGGAGGAGGAGGAGGAGGGAGGAGGAGGGAGGAGGAGGAGGAGGAGGAGGAGGAGGAGGGAGGAGGAGGAGGAGGCGGGGAGGCACAGGGCGAGATGGGGTGAAGGACAGGAGGGGTGGTGAGACGGAGGGGGGAGGTCGGGGGAGTGGGGATTGCTGATTGCGGATATCCTCGAGCGCGGTGCGGCCCTCGCGGGGGCTGGGGAGAAGTGCGCCGTGGCGCGCGGGAGAACGCCCGTCCTCTTGATCCTCCTCCCGTCCTCTTCATGACCAAGCCACCTTCTCCCTTGACCAACCTTCTTTCTTTAAACAAACAACACTTCTCTTGAACCACCTTCTCGAAACCGCCTTCATCATCGCGGCTGGAGGGGGCATCCCAGAGTGGAGTGGGGAGGGAGGGGAGAGTGGGGAAGGGAGGGGAGGGGATGAGAGTGAGGAGGCGGGCGGAGGGGAGTGGGTGAGGAGCGAGAGGGAATGGAAGGCGGGATGGGACGAGACATGGAGGAGGAGGAGGAGGAGGCGGAGGAGGAGGAGGACGAGGAGAAGGAGGAGAAGGAGGAGGGGGAGAAGAAGTAGGCGATGGAGGAATGTCTATACCTATAACTGCTTTTTACATATGCTTCGACCCGACCCAGTCGGATTGGGGCCCTCCGCTGGATGCCCGCTTGGCACTAGCACGCTGGCGGTCGAAGGACGCTGAGGGGCCTATCGATGCAAGCACCGTGCAGCGCTCACCATTAATAAGCTGCTAAACAGGTCATCTGTGAGGGATGGAGGCGGCGGACGGATGGAGAAGGGAGGGGTGGAGAGGGATGAGGAAGAGGAAGAGGAAGAGGAAGAGGAGGAGGAGGAGGAGGCGGAGGAGGAGGAGAAGGGGAAGAGGAGGAGGAGAGGGAGGACGAGGAAGAGGAAGAGGAGGAGGAGGAGGACAGAGGAGGAGGAGGAGGAGGAGGAGGAGGAGGAGGAGGAGGAGGATAGGAGGAGGAGGAGGAGGAGGAGGAGGAGGAGGAGGAGGAGGATAAGGAGGAGGAGGAGGAGAAGCGGGAGGACGAGGAGAGGGATGAGTAAGAGGAAGAAGAAGAGGAGGAGGAGGAAGACGAGAAGGAGGAGGAGGAGGAGGAGGAGGAGGAGGAGGAGGAGGAGGGGGGGGAGGACGACGAGGAGGACGAGGAGGAGGACGAGGAGGGAGCCGGGAAGGGGAAGGGGGGAAAAGGGAAGTGTAAACCACCGCACGTACCAGCAGCCAGGGAGGGGAAGGAGGGAGGAGGAGATGGGGTACGAGGGAGGAGTGAGGGATCGAGGTTTCCCTCGACGCGCGGCGAGCACGGCTCCCAGGTGCAAGTGCGGCCGCCGCGAGAATTTGCTTCGGCATCACGAGTGATAGGCCCACGCGAGGGGCGCCGCTCGGGCCTGCCTTGGTGGACATCCCCAATCCTTCCTCCTTTCTGGAGTTGAGCACCTTCTCCCCCATCCTCCACCTACACCTCTTCGGGCCACCTCCACCTCTTCCCGTTGTCTTCCCGTCTCCTCTCTGGCAGCGTCCACCAGCGCCGTCGAGGTGTTGAAGATGTCCTGCAGCTCGATGGGGTCGTCGACCCTGAGCCGCTCGATCCTGGCTCGCTCGGCCTCGTCAGGATCAGCGGGTGTGTGTGTGTGTGGGGGGGGGGGGGCAATCGGACAGCGGACAGACGGGCAGATGGGGCGACCCAGGCACACCCTCCCGGGCCGCATCGCACCTTCTCCCTTCGGGTGCCTGCCAGAGGGGTCCCTGGCCCAGGGTGCCCCCAGACCCCCGGGGAGGCCCATACGGCCTCGAGAGCACCCCTCACGTGGCCGAGAAGGCTCCAGGGGGCCCGGAGCGGCTTGAAGAGCTGGAGGCGCCCTGGGCCAAGACCACCTCCAGCACCCCTCCGACACCTCGCTGCAGGGGGCCGCGGGGGCGGGTCGAAAAGAGCCAGTGCGGGGAGGGGGCGGAGGAGGAGGAGGAGGAGGAGGAGGAGGAGGAGGAGGAGGAGGAGGAGGAGGAGGAGGAGAAGGAGGAGGAGGAGGAGGAGGAGTAGGCGGAGGCGGAGGCGGAGGCAGAGGCGGAGGCGGAGGAGAAGGCGGAGGCGGAGGCGGAGGCGAAGGCGGAGGCGGAGGCGGAGGCGGAGGAGCAGGCGGAGGAGGAGGAGGAGGAGGAGGAGGAGGAGGAGGAGGAGGAGGAGGAGGGGGGAGGGAGGAGGAGGAGGAGGAGGAAGAGTGGGAGGGAAGGAGGCCGAAGGAGGGACGGAGGAGGGAGACGCGGGGGGCGGGGAGGGAGGACTCAAGGAGGCGCGGCCTCTACGAGGCTCCCAGGACAGCCCAGAGAACCCGAATGTCAGACATTGAATCACAATGGCTCTAAGATGGGCCCAAATGCCGGCAGCTGCCGGCAGCAACGAACTCAAATAAAACGCGTATAGACGCAGCATGCCAGAGTGCTTCAGTGCGCGTCAGGAAGACAGGCTCGAGCAGGAGACCCAACATGGACGAGGAGGGTGGCGGCGCGGAAATCAGGTGGATACGCCCGCAAGCCTTACGGGTAGGCGACCGAGTCTGGGCAGCTTTCGCAACTAGGGCATTCGTGCTTCACTTTCAGAAGGTAGTTACTGCAGGAGATTTCGCCTCCAGGCGGGCCCGAATGCTTCGAGTAATGGTTCTCGTCGCTGCCTGCGCCGTTCTCTAGCAGCCACGCCCGCCTGACATCGCACGAGTAGGTCTCCCCGCCGATGGTGCAGTCGGCGTCACAGTCCGCGACCTCGGTTAAAGGTGTCGATTCCACAATCTTCCCTGTTGCAGCAGGTGTCGATTCTGGAGTCCTCCTGGCTGGAGCAGGTGTCGATTCCGCGGTGTCGGTTGAAGCAAGAGTCGCTTCCGCAGTCTTTCCATATTGGTATATGCGGACCGTGCTCCCGTCCTCACCAAGCGAAACCGAAAACCTGCTAAATATAATCAGCCGAACCCTCGCCCTCGATGTCAGACCCCAGCTTGGTCCAAGAAGTCTCATCATACCGGTTAATGCCGATGCGCTCTGCGGAATATTCGGAAATGCTGCCATATGCGCAGACGGCAACCGTGTTCCCATCGCTACTCAGCGAGACCGAACTTCCGCTGAAATCCTTCCGGTCCTCGCACTCAATGTCGGCCCCCTTCTTGGTCCACGTGGTCTCACCATACTGGTACACCTGGACATACCCCGCGTTGTTCCCTTTTCCGTCGTTCGAATATGTTCCGATGGCGAACGTGCTCCCGTCGGCACACATCGAGACGTAAAACCATCCGTGACCGTGAGCGGCCTCGCACTCCATGTCACACCCCAGCTGGGTCCAAGTGGTCCCATCACACTGGCACGCGCGGACGTATCCTGCGGTTGCCCATTCCCGGAATAGGTGCCCATGACGAATGTGCTTCCGTCGGCACTCGGCGAGACCGAAACCACGGTCGTGGCCTCGCAATCGATGTCGTCGCCCAACTGATTCCAACCCGATGAGGTCAACCAACTGCCACAATCATACCGGCACAGGCGGACGTACCCTGCGGCTGCCCCGCTTCCGTCGGTACCATAATTATACGGCGATGGTGACCGTGCTCCCGTCGCCACACAGCGAGTGCGAGTACGAAGTCACGGTGAAACCGTTCGCGGCCTCACAAGGAATGTCGGCCCCCAGCTGATTCCAAGAGGTCCCATCAAGCCGGTACACGCGGGCGTACAACGCAGCCACCCCGTTCGCGTCGTTGACAATTCCGCACGTGGCATAGATGCTTTCGTCGGCACTCAACAAGTCCGGATACCCGCTGTAATCGTTCGAGGTGGTTATACCCGCCGCTGGTATCGCCGGTATCGCACCCCACTTGGTACCATTTTACAGTGCAAGTGAACTTGGCATCGGAGTCTGCGCTGATCATGTGGCCGATGCCCGCACCCTGCTTCAGCTGCCGAAGAGGCCGGTGCCACGCGGTCACGACCGCCAGCGCCACCAGCGCCGCCGTGCAGCCCGCCGCAGCGCGGCCCGGCACCGCCTTGGCAGGGCGCCTTGGAGCCCTGTTGTGTGGCCTCGCCGAGGTCAGAGCACTCTGTGCCCTCGCGGTCGGTGGACTCCTGGTCGCCGCCAGCGGGCATGAACACGAGGCCGTGCGGGGGCACCCTGGCGCGCCCGTCTACTGCCATGGCGCGCAGCGGCCCGGGCTCGAGCGATCGCGGGGCGCGGCTTGCGCGCGGAAAGCAGCCAGAGGTGGCCTTACGCCGAGAAGCAGAACGCTGGCGCTGCTTGAGACGAATGGCTTGAGCCAAAATGGCTCGAACTCGCATTGGGTGCACGAAGTGCTGCGCAAGGGAAAACGGCCGGGGCTTGCTGGCCGCTCGCGGCCGTTCGCTCGTTTTCGCCTGCGTCTGGACCACACTGAAGCTGATCGACCAAACCTGTCCAAGACCACGGCCAAGGCCACGGCCACGGCCTCCACTTCTTTGCCGCGGCCTTCAGGTTTAAATACCCGTCCGCTCCAGCTGTCGGGTACGATTTCGATATCGTCATTTCAGACTCAACCGAGAAGATTCTTGAGGGCACTCTAGAGAAACTGGCCGAGAGTTGCGTGAACGAAGCCGTGTCTTACGCTGTATTTCATGCTGCGCTGGCCCCATCGTGCACGTGAGGCCTCCCTCTGCACGTGACGGTCCTTCTCGAAGCAGTTGCAGTAGTTCTCACGGTCGAGCGTCGGGCAGTTCGGCGGGCGTAAGGCAGTGGCCTTTCTCGCCCTCTTAGGTTTTGGATGGGTGGTGTAGGGGTCTGCGACGTGGAGGGAAGGGTGGGGACGACGGAGGACTTGCTTATGTCCATGAGGCTGCGCTTGCCTTTCCGCCCCGCTGCTCGCCTTCCAGCATTGCCCTGCAGAGGTCGTAGCGGCACTGCTCGTTTCAGGATTTGGAGCACAATTTGCAGGCCCGGCGAGGGCGTCTGTCGTAACGGCGATGCCCGTTCCAAGATGTCTGTCGGAACGCTTTTTGAATTTCGGCCTCTCGCGTGCCAGGCCGCGATTTCGTTTAGCAATGCTTGGAGGGCTTATGGGAGGCTGTGGAGGAGGAGGAAGAGGAGGAGGAGGAAGCGGAGGAGAAGGCGGAGGAGGAGGAGGAGGAGGAGGAGGAGGAGGAGCGTTACGACAAACCTGCGGATCTCGATGCCGTGTATCGTGTAGCTCGGCAAGCGCCCAGGTTAGTGATCAGGTCTACCGCCGCTCCATTGTCAGCCCCTGGAGTGGGCACTTATCCGTCTCCTTCGGCCCGATGCTGCAAGCGCTCGCTGGAGCGGTTGTTGGCCTGGCAGGCTCATGTGGCCTCGTCCCGGAGCTGTCTTGCAGGTCGTCCACCAGGCTAGCTTGTGGAGGCTCTCCATCTCCCGAGGTGCGCGGGCTGGCCGCTGAGGGATGGATCAGTAGCGTTGGCCTCCCCTCCTGTCACTTTCTCCTTCTTCCTGCCTGCTTTGCCCCTGTGCCCTCGGCTCTTTTTCGAACTGAAAAGACATGCTCTTGGCGATGCTCCGCCGTTCTCGGCCAGAGCCTGGCCGCCTCGCCCGCTCAGTGGTCGAGCGAGGGACTCCTGCCGCCTCTCCTGCAAGGCTCGTCCGACGGAGGAGGAGGAGGAGGAGGAGGAGGAGGAGGAAGAGGAGGAGGAGGAGGAAGAGCAGGAGGAGGAGCAGGAGGAGGAGGAGGAGCCCTGAACTCGCGCGCGACCTTGGCCGTTCGGCCTCTCTCGCGTTAACACCTCGCTCGTGACCCTGGCGCTCGGCCTCCCACGGAGCGAGCAGGCGACTCTGGCCGATGGGCCTCTCGCCCTCTCTTTTTGCAGGTCGCGTCCGATGCGGTGATCGGAGGAGTGGTGTGGGTGGCGGGGGGGGACCGGGACCCTCTCGGGGTGCGACAAAAAACACGACGCCAAATCTTTCGCTGTCGTCGGCCTCGGGGGGCCCTTCCCGGCCCTCGGGACCGTCCAAACACGAGTCAGGACGTAAAGCCGGTCCCGGGGAACGGGCCCAGACCGCTGGGGGTCGGAGTTGCAACAAAAATCACGACGGCGGGGGACGCGGGAGGTTCGTGGGCGCTGGGCCGAGCGCTCGAGCTGCTGCCCTCCGTCCACCTGCTGGAGGCCTCGGCCGAAGCCTCGAGCTCTCGTGCTGTCCCCGACGGCATCCTGCGGGTCGAGGAGCTCGGTCCGGGCCCCCGGGCCGGAGGACGAGACAGAGCCGGAACCCGGGCCTGGCCGCCTGCGCTTGCAGGTGCAGGCCCTGGTCATCGCAGCGTTCCCTGGAGGTGGTGGCCTGGTGGCGGGAAGGAGTCGGTCCAGCTGGTCCCTGGAGGCGCGCGTCCGACCCGAACGTGTAGTATGCCCATCTTGTAGCACATCGTTTCCCGAGCGGCGTGGCCAGAAAGCGTCCGCCACGACGCGTCTACCATACGATTTCTCGGTGCACGCGTCGCCCCTGGGGGGGCGACCCACATGTAGTATTAACATGTTGGGGGGACGCCGATGGTCTTGCACTCGTCCCTGGAGCTGCGCTGCGAGGCTCTCCACCTCGGCCTCTGTAGACCTCCAGCCAGACGCCTCGAAGGATGACCAC